GGCCACACCTTCCCCGTGCACCAGCGCACTTTGGACACGCCCCCCTGTTTTCATCCCCGTATTCCTGCATGACTTTTTCCTAGTGTTTCCCCACTTCTACGGATTGTGTGGCCCGCATAGGGTCCAGAAAGAACTGTTCGTTACAGTCAGGCACTCTGTCATTGAGTTTCTGTCCCTGTCCTGTCTGCGCTCTGTCTGCTTCTGCTTCAACTGTCCTCTATGTACCTGAACAGTGCTCCCCTGTTTCGTCTTGTCTTTGCCACCTTCTCTAGCGCATGCCTAGGCTTTTGCCTCTTTATGCCTTCACTGGGACCAAGCACTTGGACTCCTTGGCCTGTCCTTCAGATGTGGTGCTTTCCACCTCATCACCATGTTGTGACAACTACTTGTTTTATCGCATATACTGTATCACATACTGTATGATACTGTACCTCTATATGGTAAAAGTATATGCAGTATACCATAGCATAACCCATAATTATTATATAGTACACAGTACCATGGTTCATTGGAGTAAAACTTTATATGGAATTCAGTAGCTTGGTTAGATCTTAACAAATGCTAGAGAGCAAGATAAATATGTACAAAATTATTTGTCGAGGCTTGCTTATCTAAAGGAATGGCAGCCTATCCAAGGCTGGATTAGCTACTAGAACAACCCCTCTGTATTGTGTAGAGTGAATTCAGGAGTTTGCTGCGATGGTGTAGATTGCGAGGTGTGAGGATGCAAGATCCAGCCTCCCTCACCAATTTCTGTTATAACACCTGCTAAAACTCCATTTGTTCAAACATTACAAATAATAAATTATAAAGCACACATTAACAAGAGAAGTATGCATTGAGGAGTTTATTGATTGTTACATGTTGTATGCATGATAGCACATCCCCATAACCACTGAAAAGAAAACAATAATTTTACACAAAATCTAGAAAGGAGAAACAAGCCTGCAGACTGTTGATTTTAGCCAGCTTGAAACAGAGTTTGTGTTGCTGCCAGAGTTTGTGAAGCCTCATGTCCTTCCTGTGGAACACAGAAGAATATATTGTTAATACAACAGTACAACAGTATGTTGTTCTAGAGAGGTTAATTTTAATTTCTTTAAAATTAGTCAAAAAAGAGAATGAAGTAAAATATGCCAATTTTTAGTTCTAAACATCAGTCAAAATTAAATTTAGACAGTGTGGCTAATCAGCATAAAAAACATACTTACCATATTAACGTCCGAGTGCACCTAATATGGTATTCACCAGCTGGATAATCTGGGTTACGTTTAAAGATGTTGTAGGATTAGTGACAGTACTGATAATTCTCACCCGCTGAATAAGCAAAATAATAAATAAGCAAAACATTATGATAAAATATTCAGTAGAAGCCCTTTGTTCCAGAGGTTTTTAAAGACACCAAACACTTTACTGTTGCACAATGATTTGTGTATTTAAAGAAGATAATTACCAAAATACATCTTGAAATGCTAGTTATTATGGAAAAATGCCAGAAATCAGATAATGGAAATTAAGGTCATGAAAAGAAACATCACATCTGAAACATAAACGTCTGTATATTTCGTTTATCTAGCTGATTGCTTTAATCACTTGGGGACAAGTGAGGTCACCTGATTTGAAAATAAAAATCTAATTTATTTAGCCAAGTATTATAGTAAGCTTGTTTTTTTAAGCCACAAAGGAAAGGTACATACTTCGTGAGATTCGGAGCTAGACCGTGCTACACGGCGATGCTCTTCTTCGATCTGTTAAAATAATGACATATTTAAACAGTGTTTCACAGTAAATAATATTTGTCTGGCAATAGCTTTACTGTATAAAAAAAAGTTGTCAGCAATAGACCATTAGCTTTACAAGCTCTCTGTACTGTAATGTATTGCATTCTTTGCAGAACATGAGAAAGTGGCTAAAATAAAGAAATAATATTTTCTTTCCAAACCTAAGTAATAGAATATAAGTAAACTACAACCTTGCAATTGAAATAATATATATATATACAGTACATTGTCTCATATACAGTGTCTCTCTGTGAGGTTATTTAATTTGCTAGTCTCTGGAAGTAATAGCATTTCATTTACGTAGTGAAAACTTACTGGAAGAGCAATGCTCAGCCCAATGAGGAGCATCAGAAAGAGAGCCGTCTTCATGATTCACTGGAGGCTAAGGAAGATAATAAGATCAAAGAATTAAGTATCAAACAGTTACAAAGTGTTGGCTACAGCTTTTGTATACCTTAGGTTTTCTTCTGGTGCTCTGGTTTCCTACCACCTTTTGAAGATGTGCTGGCTGGGTAATTCAGTGTCTCTTAACTATTTGTGTGTGCGTGTGTAAGTGTGTATGTGCCTTGCAGTGGACTGGCATCTCATCCATGGTGTCATCTCACAATGTGCTCCTTAGTTCTGGAATTACACTCCAAGGAATAAACGCATCTCTGACAATAAATTAATGGATTATTGGCTTTGAAAAGCACAAAGATAAAATCTATGATTTTTTTTTTGCACATGCTCCTACAGTACTAATATGTTTTCCATAAATGCAAAAGAAGAAAAAGGTAGTAATACAGTACTCACAAAAGTTTGTCTATGTAAAAGAAGATAAATGCAAAGTTCAGTACCTGTTAATTGCTGTAGCTTAAGAATAATGAAGTAGTACTGTATTCGCAATGTTATCTTCTTGGTAAAAATGCTCCATTCCATAAGTCCTATTTATATAAATTTCAAACAATGAATGACCAATCAAATCTTATTTACAAACAGCCATCATTTCAATATACATACAGTGTTGACTAAGGAAGAGGCGTACTGGGTTTATGGGTCACACCCACCTGAAGATGACCTGTAAACTTCTGCAGTTTATTGTGCACCAAACACCCGTAAACATATTTTTCCACACACAGTGACATACAGTACGCTTTCATTTAATTGAGAAAGATATATTTTTGTATAACAAATCTAAAATCCTAATCATCTGAAGTAATCATATCAATTAGGATTATAGATTACTGCATAACACTGTCCATAAATAACTGATAGACATCTTGGTAAGACCAATAATGTTTTCTTGCCTTTCTGTTAAAAAATATGATAAAAGATTGAATTTCCTCACAATGTCAATGTAATGAAAGGTACATTTTTGGGTTGGATATTTTAATTACCTTTGTAAAGGGACATACTTTCACAAATGAAAATTTCACTTTCAAAGCTATAGTTGTCAGGGTAAAATATATTTATGAATTTAAGTTAATAAAATAAACAATTTCTAGCACTCTCAGATCTTTGTATCCAATTAAGTGCTTTATTCCGGCTGTTTTGGAAACAAAATACAGTACCTTGCTCCAAAAGGAGCAGAAATGAAATACTCTACAATTCACTGACACAATTGCTGAGATAAAAAGAGAAAATAAGACTGTTTTAAGGCTATAAAGTTTAAAAAATCTAATCAATGAACAATGAAAAAACATGTTGGTTTTATAAGCCAGCCTAATGAGCCTACTGTAACTAAACAGTATTAACTAAATTGGTAGAGTAAAATTTGTTCGATACACAATATCACTCTCTACTCTTCAGGAAGTCACATATCACTGCCTGATTTCAATATGATGAGATGGTTGAGAAAGGCACCTACTGTATAATCTCCTGAGAGAAAATAAATCTGGGAAACAGTATTTTGTTCTTGATCCATAAGCACAATGGAAACATAGTGAATTAGAAAGAGATTTAACCCCTGCAGATCTGGTTTCCACTCCAGACTTGATTAAGAAGTGATGACATTTCCCAAACTGGATGGGTTCTCTGCTGAAATTCATTAGCCTTTCTGAGTATTCCTGAAGTCAAATCTAGGGCATGTCAGTGGTGGCTGTATAGTCACATACAGACAAGTTGGATTCAGGTGGAGATGGGACGGATAAAATAAAATACATTAAAATACCTCCTATTATTAACTTCTTGTGTAAGCTCTATTTTGACATCTGTTTCTCTGACATGGGTTTGTTTAAAAGTTAATTTAAACAGCCCACTCAATTTTCAGGAAGAGGTTTGGCAACAGTGTTTAGGGATCCAGGCATATATTGTATCTGTATGGTTGGGGGTTCAAATCTTGACCATTACAAAGGCTCTGGAAGGTTAGTACAGTAAAAAATGAATTTACATCTTAAAGTAATCTGTGGCATATCCACACTTAAAACTGAAGAAAATATGTACCTTTCTGCGATGAAAAAACGGTTTATTTTTCTATATTGGTACTTAAATATTTACTGGATTATTCCTTGTCTTGAATATCAGATTAAAAGGGTTTTTGTTGTATTTAGCCCCTGCAAATCTAGCTTCCACTTCAACCTCTTTTAACCACATTATATTATATACAGTACATCATCTAATTTAGATGTTCTACTTGAGAAAGTGGTGGAGTTACAAAAAAAAGTGGTGTAATTTATTATAAAATGGTTTAAAAGAAACACATGTTTTAACAGTAATGTGAATGTAACATTTCTAAATACTAAGTACTGTCTCCATGAAGGGGTGCTCTAATCGAGGAGAACTGATTCTTTTACAAAGTGAAATACAATTTTTACAAATCTAATATTCTTTACAGTTCCCATGTATAATAAACAATATTTTAATAATAATGCAAGATATGTATTTTCCTGTAACTTGTTTCGGATTATGGTAGAAATCTTCAAACTTCTTATCAGCATGAGCTTTGATTTTCACTTACAATATGTGCACTCTGCTAAGAATATTTGTTTAGTTAATAATTTCTTAGTGAACATAATGTGGTTGTGAAGCACCCAAGTGTCACACAAGCCTCTGAAGTCTCTGAAGAACCGTGCCTTTAATCCCAGGAAGTGCTGATAGCTCTGTCCCTATTAACATGTGTCTAATTTAACGCTTCATTCTGGCTGTTTTGGAAACACCATAGTGACAAAATACAGTGCTTTGCCTTTATCGTTAAAAAAATAAGCAAAAAAACTTTGCATGTGATACCTGCTGTAAGTTTATTATTTTTTGAGAAGTCGTTACTTTTAAGAAGTTTAAGGTCGTAGAGAAAGAGTTAGTTCAGACTAGGAATGATACAGTAGGATACAATCATTGTATATTTGAATTTATGGCTTTTTTGTTGTAGGCAATGTAGTGGTTGTTGGAGTCGTGGTCGTTGGAGTCGTAGTCGTTGGAGTCGTAGTCGTTGGAGTCGTAGTCGTTGGAGTTGTTGCAGCCAGAGTTTTAATTATGTTCTGGATCAGCTGGAGTAGTGCAGAGGTAGGCACCTGTGAAAGACAAAAGTGAAGTACTGGATGAGGGTCTTTTTTGTGCTATTCATTTGTATGCATGTGTTCTCATAACCTCAACGGCTCATTGTCAGGGCATTGTCCACCTTTCTTATCTAACTGCTCTTATAGTTTGCGCTGACACAGAAGCAAAAATCTGTGTACTATAGCATCAGAGGAACTTTCTTTACTCGTGCCTTTACCTCTCACACATTGAGGCACGACAATTGAGCCACAATGTAAGGCTCTAACTCTATGAACAGGTGTGTTCTACTGTCCTTAATAAAAACAGAACAACCTGTCTGCTGTTGAAAAAAATAACATGATCAGAAATAAATATGCAAAAGAATAAAAATCAATATTGCATAGTTTAATTTCACACCCCCTCTGTCAGAAGAGGTACAGTAGCTGTTTTCTCCTTTGCTTCCCTTATTTTTCTTTAAAAAGCCCTTTTTATTCCTTACAAGTGCATCAGGCTTCATAAGGGGTTGTTTGTCACTGTACACCGAATGAAATTTATTTTAAAGAACGTCATCTTCAAATATGTAGCATGAAAGGACTTACTTGATTTAGTTCCAGTGAGTTTGAGTCTGAGCTTGAGAATGAACGCGAACGTTTAACTCGTTGATGGTCATGATTAGCCTGTAAGAACAAAGAAGTTCAATTAATATATACAATCTGTTTAATTAACTTTATATCCTGAAAACGTTTAGTATTTTCTTCTAATTTTTGAGTTATCTGTACAGTATATCCCATATTTATGTACTGTATATTAACATTTTTTTCAATTTTACATTTCTGTCAAATGAAGGCATATGTAATGTCCGGTTAGAGTTTAGATTTTAAATTACAGTCCTTTACAACTTTTAATAATTTGTAAAACCAATAACTTCACAGTAACTAATTGTACTGTAGATTATATGAAGGCGCCAATTAAGATTTTAGCCATCTGCCCACCTACAGCACAAACCTCTCATTATTTTCTAATTTGTATTACAGAAAAAAAATATCCAGTTCAAACAGTAACATAACTGATGTCATTTTTCCAAATAATTTCGGTACAAAATGTGATTCTTGTTTCAGTCACTAGTTTCCTCCAATTTAGGATTAGACCAAATGACCACTCTAAAAAGACACAGGCCCAAGAACGGCAAAAGCTACTCTTGATGGAAGCAGTAATGTGTGACCTCAAAATATAGTTTTGTTATATTTAATAATGGTAAAGTAATTCAGGTATAAAATTGTGAAAAGAGCTCAGGCAAAGACAAAACAGCCATGGAATATACAGTATTTGGTTAATCAGTCTGAGATAGATCGCAGATTATGAAGGCATAACAAGAGACATTTTTTATATAGTACAAATTAAATAAGATATAGAATAAACTTACCGGAATAGCAATGGTTAGACCAATAATGCACGACAGGAAGATTGCGGTCTTCATGGTGTATGGAGGTCTGTAAAAAAAGAAAAAGAAAATGTTAATTTCAGTAACAAATAAATTCATCATCTTGGTAGGGTTTATGTTCCATTTTATTGTTTTTTCAAAATATAGTAAATCATTTCATGATAAAGTATTATTATCATACAGCAATTTGGTGACAGCATAAACAAAGTTCAGATCAGCACAGATGTGGAAGAGGCAAAAAACTGACTTGATAACTGTAGGGAAGATCTGTTGCTCGCCTGGATGAGACACCTGGATCAGTTTGATTGTAGTCCCCCACTTTTCTGGGTTGAATTTATATACATTTCATCCTGTGAAGAACCAACCACGATGGTTGTGACTCATTCACTTAATTAAATTCTTTCTCTTTGAAGATTATTGCTAAACAAGAAAAATAATAAACACAGTGAATGAGTGGCAACTCCACGTGGGAGAGGATCCCATTATTTGTTCTTTACTGGTTTTTTTTTGGCTCATAACACTCTTTCTGGGATGAACTGGGTTTCTGTCTTTTTATAACTCGGAGGTAAAGCTGACTATATGTTTTAGATTTTGGTGTAAGAATAGCCAATTTATATATTTTATCTCATGATAAAAATCCATATTTAATAAAGCCTATTATTCAGTTAACCCAAGCAAGAGATTTTAAAAGCTATAATGGGAAACTTATACCAAGGAAAGAAGTATATCTGGAATTGACTTTAGAAGCAAATACAATTATAATTAAAAAAAAATAAATGATTAATTCTCCACATAAATGTAATACGCTTTTTTCAACAACTTGAGTTTTGGAATTTTAATGGCTTTGATTAATGTATCTGTGTACAGAATAGTATAATTATATATTTTGAAAAGATGGTTTTAGCATTGTGTGCATATTTAGCACAGAATTTAATTTAAGTTAGCTCAAAAAGAGGAATTGTTATAAATGGAATTGTACTCTGTGTTCTTTAATTGTATTTTAATTCTCAGCCTCCTATTCTGACAATGAAGTAGCATTAGTCTTGAAAAGGATATTAGAATATAACATTAGAATATAACAGACTTCACGGTACTTTGTTTCAAAGTAATGTGAGACAATACTTAGAAAACTGCAGATTCCCATTGTTAAAAACAGCGTTCTTATTTAGTTGACTTAAAGTAACATGAAGCTGATCTCCTACCATTTACATGATTTATGTCTTTTTTAAGAGTTGAATTAAAATTAAACATTATTTTGTTCAGGGGTGTTAGTCGTTCATTCCTTTAACAAGTGTCTCTTCAAAGGCTGGTTTTGAACATAGTTTATTATTAGGAAATCATGTTCTTTGTGGGCACTTTTTGCAAAACATATTGCATACTTTATACAAGAATGAAAATAAACCTTACATTTCAAAAGAGAAGAAGTTGCTCAATAGCTTACAGATTGTTTACGTGAGTTTAATTAAGTCCTGGGAAACATATTTTTAATGTTTTAGTTCTCCTACTGTTTC